TTTTTTTTTTTAAGTAGGTGGGTCGGGTTGGGCGAGTTCATTCGATTTTCATGAGTTAACCCATGACCCAACCGGACTCAACTCGCCTACGCAGTCAACCCACCCAACCAGTGTAAAAACAACAAAAAAAACCCAAACTGATCGGGTTGGGCAGTTTTGGCGGGTTCGATAGGCAAAGCTCTGACCCCTAGTTTTAATACATATCAATGCCAAGTACCAACAAACAAATAAAAACTGAATTTCGATCCCTAAAAGAAAGTAAAAAATACTACTGTGAATAATAAATGGTTTACCTCTTTGTTAACAAAATCTACCGATCCAGTCAGTTCAGTAGTTTCGTCCTTTTGTTCCAATTGTAGTTAGATAGAAGATGGAGTACATGACACTATAAGAATGTACTGATATGTAAGCTTCAGAATATTCCTGTATCAAAATATAAATAAATTTATTTCACATAAATGTGATGTTTTGGATAGTCTAATTCTTTTGAAACATTGCGGACATAGTTCAACAAGGGGAAAAAAGTACAAATATATATCGCACCTAAGGTTTACAGATATCTTTATTTTATACCTCAAGCTCTGTCCTGCAGTATCCTTACAACATTATATTCTGTTAGGACAAAACATATTAATATCATGAAAAAAAATTGTGTAAAATTGTTTAAACATATACATAGTATTACGTAATTTAATAATTACCATTATTCTAATTTTATTTAAGTGATAGAAAATGAAGAATATGATTAAGATAGTTAAAAATAAAAAATCAAAAGAACCACAATCAAAGTATTAAAGCAATTTTTCAGTAAAACAACTTGTATTTTAGTAAAAAAAGAAAAGAAAAAGCAGAGACTCGATCCACCGCTCTTATTGATGCAAATTTCACTCACATTGAGCTCGTATCTCTTTGACTTTTTCCATATTAAGTGGTATCTTCATTTCTTGACTTTGTGAAAAAGGTTGATTTAGAGAGAAAAAGTATTAAGCCGTGAAAATGAAGAGAAATGAATATGAAATGTTCAAATAAATCAATTGAGGATTATAACAGTTAAACCAACAATCAAGTGCTGATGATAGCATGACAGTTGGTATATGGAAAAATTGGAGGTAAATAAGTTTGGTTAAAATTTCAATGCTATTCAACCTACTAGTAATCATCTAGGCATCCATTAATGATTGGATATCTTGAATGAAAATATATAATGATATTTATAATGTCTAATCATTAATTGACACATAAACAAGTATAAAGCACAATTTTTTTT